GTAAAACATATTATTCTAAGAAAGTTCCTTAAGTTTAAATTTTCTGTATTTCATGCATTAAAAATCAGATTCAGTTAATTAAAAACATGTTTTCTCTCATATTTCATATTTGTTTGTCACTTTGTTATTTCTTAAAATGGCCCTTCAGATTATATTGATGGCCCATTCATTTTCAAAATGGCCCATCAAAAATGTTGACAGTTGCGCCATAGTCCCATTGACCATTTTGGCCTTCCCAAACACTGTCCACGCCTCACCGCACTCAAGATAAAGCCCAGTTACTCAAACAATGGAAATTCATCTTTTGCTTAAAAGTATTCAACAGCAGCAATGTTAAAACTTTTTATGATTTAGGCTGTATTTTTGATAACCCATAGTACACAGGTCCAGTACAATCAGTTTAATTAAAAACACGTGTTTTCTCCTACCCCAGGTAGCTTTATTTAGCTATTTCAATGTAACTTTTTTTTTCTTGGAAAAGAGACAAAAAATCGCAGTTAAATGACTATATATTTATACTAGGGAGACTTTAAAAAACATTCCAAAGCAGAGATAGTTTAAACATCGCTGTGTTTAGTCAGTTTAGAGCAAAACATGTAATTCCATTGTTTGGTTATCTGTCCGTGCGGTGAGGCATGACTGAGTATGATTACTTCACATTGTGCTGAATAATTACCGACCTATTATCATGTTAACCAGAACTGGACTTCTTTGTCAATTCATTCAAGGAGTAACTGTTCTAACTGTCATACATAGCCCCAAAACTTTCAGAACTTTGATTGCAATTGCAAACAAGACATTTCTTCAAGGGGAAATTTTCATGAATTGTTTTCAAATGAGTTCAAAGTTGAAAATGATCACTGCATCAAAAAGATAGTTTTTGCACATCCTGAGAAAAATGCTTTTTTATAGAAAGAAATTCATTTGGTAGGCAACCTACCTGTATTTATGATAATTCTACCTACGTAGCTAAATGTACTGATTGTACATATATATGAATTGTCAAATATATGGGACTTTTTGTTTATTTATAGCAAAAATCGTTTTTTGTGAAAAAATGAATATTAATAGCTTTATTAAGCTATACTGAATAGCTCAATAAAGCTACATAGCTTTTTAAAGCTATATAGCTTAATCAAGACATTGTGCTGGACCTGAATAAAGAGCTATTATATAGTATTAATTCCCCTAAATGAGCCAGCCAGGAAAAAGTCAGCAAGCTGTTTGAAAGATCATTTTTTTCCTATCACCTGATTGTACAAGATTTAACAAAACACTTAACAGTACTTACGAAAATCTTGAAAATCTCAACATTTTGTGTTTACGAAAGTCAACTTTCCCGCTATGAAGTTTATCTACCTCAATTTCTAGAGAGCTCTTTTTAATAGTAAGTCGTTCATTGTTTGGTCGTTAAAAATCCCAATCTTTTTCAATAAAATATTGCAGACTCCTGTGTACCTGTGTACTTTACAATGTTTTCACTTTTCATATTATTATTATTATTTATTAAAATAAACATTCTGTCCTTTGACTGTACCCCAAAGCGTAAAAGACGGACGGATGGACGTACATTCCGATCATTATACCCTAACTCCCACTTTTCAAGCGGGATTATGATAATATTTAATCGGAATCAATGTTAGAACGTTTTACCCTACAAGATATGAACATGTCTAATACAATAGTACTTACTGTGCGGAATTTTTTTTAAAGTTGGTAATTCCAACTTTAATCTTTACTTTTCTAACTTTAATCTTGGATTTTCCAGTCAACTTTATTTTGAGATCTTCTAGCCCCTTTTCTTAGTTTTTTCCCCTTTATTTTAAACCATTACCAACTTTATTAATGAAAATGTAATACACTGAAATAGACTGGTTAGCAATGAATTTTCGCAACCTACATGGGTGGATGGAGATGGGAGGTACGAAGGGCGGACGAGCCATAGGAAGATATAGTATAAAACTTTAATAATGCTTAATATACAAGTACATTGAAATAAGTCACTAACAATATTATATGTTGGCAAATTATTGTATTATTGGGGGGGGGGGGGGGTTGGACACGCCACAACGCACCCCCCCTTTCGGCTCCTACGCTATGCACTATAACATGATTCCTTCTAAAATCATCATTTCATAATAAAATTGTATCTTTCCATTTTAATTACATGTATAAAACGGTAACATGAGTTAAGCTACAAATTATCTCAGACAATATAATACATAAAACCGTATTAAGTTGGAAAAGCCAAGATTAAAGTTGGAATTTCCAAGATTAAAGTTGGAATTATCAAATTTAAAGTTGAAAAAGCCAAGAGTAAAGTTGGAATTACCATCTTAAAAAAACATTGCACTTATACGCTTCCGTAGTAGTGAGATTAAAGCATCTTTCATTCATATTTATTGTATTTTTTAAAAATTTAATATAGACAAGAAATATCCATCTTGTAGTGAAACCTACATACTGATGGCAAATAATAGAATTTAAATCATTTAATAAGATAGGTATCAATAATCCAAACCCTCGACAGTTTAAAACAAGAGGCCAAGGACATTCACGGCAACCTGAGTACTACTGAGTATTTTTAAAAAATCGCTGAGCATGCAGAGAGTAATTTCTCAGAAATAATGCATTTTCACTATCAACAATATATAGAATCACACCCTGGCTCCAGAACCACTGACCCAGAGTCTTGAATTTAGAAAAAAAAAAACATGAGAGGCACTCTTGCTCATTAAAACGATGACTTGAGTTTGTTTAGTATTTATATAAGAGGAGAAAGGAAGATTTTCAAAAAAATATTGCATGTTAACTTTTTAACCAAAAGACCCCATTTAAAAAAAAAGAACCCCTGTCACTGTGACCACAAATTTGAATTTTTTTCCTTATAAAGGCAACCTTGCTCATTAATTTTCTGCTTATAATCAAATAATACATTTTCGCCATAAAAAAAAGAGCCCCACCCTTACACAGGAACCCCTCTCCCTTTTCATCCGTAGATGATGTTTGCAAATTAATTTAATTGAAATGGTTCAGTAGTTCCAAAGAAGCTAAAAAATATAATGTTTAGATTTTAACAGACGATAGACGACGCACGAGGACGGACAAAAACAGATAGCAGTACGTCAACCGAGTGACTCAAGTAACTTAATTAATAAGTAGTTGTTAATCAAAATTCTTGTCTTATTTATTCATTTATTTATCATCATCATATTAAATTGATTTCATTAAAATAACAGCATTTTTTAAATACATGCATAACCAAAATTTTTTTTTAGAGAAAATTTTATTACATATATAAGGATTGTGATTCCAACCAAAATTAAATGTTAAATCAACACACTAAAATGAGAGCATTATACCAATTTTTGCCATGCCATCTGTAAACTTCTAAAGCAACATGTACAAATACATGTAATATACTGAAAAAGGAATATTAAATCGGAAACATGAAACTGACTCTTTATTAACATTACACGAACGAGACACGACACACATAAGATGGAAGTTACCTATATATACTGAAAGGAAAAAGAAACGCAGGGTAGCATAATTGTCGATAAAAATTTGACCACATGACCGAAAATTACGAAAATTAGTCAGATTGGAAATTAAGTTACTGTGCATCAAAATCAGTATCCAGAATTACTCAACCGTAAAATCTATGACGTCACGTAGGGAAAACGCTAAAAAGCCCAAAACACGTGCAATTTGATAACGACGTGTCTGTTCACAAATCTTGTTGCATTATTTGATGCAGATGAGGTATGCACATTGTTTTTCAATATTAAGAGACATTATGAATTTATTGCAATCATGGCACAGTTTACGGAAGTTCAGTTGGGTCTTGTTTTCGAATTGCCTAATTAATGAAAAAGGCAACAACAGTTTACTAAGCATTCTCTTGTAAGTTTTCCCCCATAAAACTTTTTAGCCGTTGTCAGAGAGGGTGTGGAGTGGATTTCAATCAACCGTGACGCTGACGTTAACGCGAAACAGAGCCATGTAACGAGCGGGTTATTCATCCTGCTATCTCTTAAATCGCCACCTTACTACCACAAAAACAGCCATTTATAGTGTACCCGATTATAATCATTACATTCATAGGAAATTTGAAAGAAAACAATTCCGCAATTTGGTTTTTTGAGCCAGTCAACTTACTGTTGTATTCCTCTCACTGGCGCATGCGCGCGTCGTTTGACTTATTTTTTTGCGTGGTTACCCATGCTAAATATAGCCAGGGTTTGAAAAATAAACACTCTGATGAAATTCCATGCAAAGGAGAAAAAAGACTCTGAGATATGCACGAGATGGACATTGAAGATAATGAGAGTTTTCAATTTTCCCTTTTGGGGGGTATCGTCATTTGAGCTTCAATAACTCATGAATAATTACACAAAATTATACGAGAATTTGGTTATATCTTTTTGAAAGATGATTTTAAAAGTAAGGTAAGAAAACTAAAAAGTATTTTAAGAAAAACAAATTTAATTCACCTCAAAAGTTTACCCTGCGTTTCTTTTTCCCTTCAGTATATATGACAATTAAAGACACAACACGTTAATTGATATCATACATCAGATTTCTTAGTTCACATGATACATGTTTTGTAGTCCTATAACCACCGTCGTCTTTAGAACACCACTCCTCATCAGGAATCAGGAAGGCAATCCATCATTTCATATCCGGTCATTTTTGTTTTTATTTGAACCGAAGTCGGTCTTGTATGCCCTCAGACAAAGGTCTCTTTTGCGTTTTTCTCAGATCTAGACCTATGCTTGCGGACACGCGTTTTGAGTACAGGTTGCCTAAAACAGAATTGTGCACAAATTTAATTAATAAAATTTCATACAGTGCTATTGTGATTGATGTAGTTTTAAAACTGTGGTTTTCTGATATTTTTTAAGCTGTTGTTTTTTCATTGTAGGTTCAAACATCATAATATTCGACTAAAAATCTTTATTTTATCTGAGGAAAACTTATTTGACTTGAATACTTACGATTCCATCATTTCTGATACAAACACATTCATTTCCACAATTGTCAATTGATATCTTGGTCCCCAGAGGTATAAACTGATTGAATGCATCGCATCCTATGAGAAATTAAAACATTTACAGCAAACAATTTATTATTTCTTGTTATAAATAAACATATACATGTAATATATGGTAATTTTTTAATTGAGTGGCGGTAAATGCAGAATGTTGCAATGATGTAAATGGTGTGAATTGCACAAAATTTTATTTAACCAGAGGGTTTCAGGGTGTGATGTGTTCTGTCTTCCCAAATTTTTTTAATTAAAATGGAAAATTTGGTAAATAGTCATAACAACAGAATATTTATCTTAATAAAAAATGTGGGAAGACAGTTCTTTCAAAATTTCTTATGGTGTACCTCAAGGGAGACCTTCCATGGCCCATTTATTGTTTTTATATTAAGTAAATGAAATGCTTTATAATTAGTACATGAAAACAATGACTGCAATCTTATCCTATCAAAATACCGACGACAGTGGCATCTTAAATTCAAATAATCTCCGCGATAAACTTGGTATGGTTTTAGAGAGATGCACACAAAGGGACACAGACAAAAAGTCATTCCTTCTTAGAAAACAGTCTATTCAGTCTATTACATATATTTGGTCTTAGCGAAAAGCAAAATAAAATATTGAATAAATCAGTAATATAAATAAAACTCAGTTTAAATTCAAATGTCACATTCCTGTCATCAAATCTGTTGAAATTGTTTAATATCCGGGTATAACAATTCACAAATTTCTAAAACGAAATCTCATAGTGGATAAAATGGTGGCTTAAGTAAATTCCAGACTGAAGTTTCTTTATAGAACCGACTCAAAGAGCTCAAAGTTTTTCATGGGAGGGTAGATTCACATAAAAAGAAGCCCCAAAAAGTATGAAAACTGCTCAAAATAATAAAAGAAACGTATTATACAAATTGTGGGTCGATATTTAATAAATAAGGATTGGTACCTGGTTGACATTGGCATGTGACTGAATCTACCCAATCAGGACATAGGAAATTCCTGTTGTATGTACACTGATTTCCAGTTTGACAGTCATCACTGCAAAGCAGAAAGGGAAAAATGAATTTCATTTCATTATATGTTTTGTACGTTTGTCAAATATATATGCTAGGGATGTCAACGAATTCTCGACTATAAATCGAAACAACGTATTACATTTACATTATATAGATTTACCTCGTTTTACAAGACTGAGTGTCGTTTGCTACAACTACTGGAGGTAGTGTCGTTCCTTGGACCATGAAATTCCCAGTTTCATTTCTGTTGTTTTGAGGTTCGGAGGATAAGACAACATTCTGCCTTGAAGTTTCAATTATTGTGTTGCCATTTGGATCGACACTTCTTGAAACAGCACTGTTTCTGGTCAGAGAACCAGTTGAGGGTGGTCTTATCCCGACATTATTGGTAGACGCTACTCTTGTTTGGAACCCAGAACCTCTGGATGCTGCGTCGCCGAATGTTCCGAAAGCAGAGCTCTGTGGGTCAGCTGATGTTCTGGATGATGTTCCTGCATTCATACTCACAAACCCGCCCACTCTAGTATTCTGTTGTGAATTTCGCGGAAGTCCATTGTTAAAACTACTTCTAGAAGGATTATTTGGACCTTGCATAGTTCTAACCATTTCCCCTCCAGTTTGTGGGTTAGAGTCAGGATCAAATCCTGTTATCGGCGACTGACTATCAAAGGCTCCATTATTCCGAAGGGGAAAATTTGAGAAAAATCGTCTTTCTATTGACCCTCCAGTTTGAGAATTTGATGTAGGATCTAATCCTGTTACCGACGACCGACTAGTTAAGGGTCCATTATTTCCAAGAGGAGAATTTGAGGAAAATCGTCTTTCTATTGACCCTACAGTTTGTGAACTGGAGGCAGGATCAAATCCTGCCATCGATGACTGGCTGTTAAAGGGTCTATTATTTCCAAGAGGAAAATTTGAGGAAAATCGTCTTTCTATTGACCCAGGATTGACGACAGCGTTAGAGTTAGGGTTGAAAATGTTACTAGAGCGAGACATTTGGCTTTGGGAAGGTCTTGAAGCATTTTCAGCTTGTAAGCTGGAAACCGGATCAAATCTTGTCACTGTGGACTGGTTATTAACATTGTCAGTAGAGCCCACTCCTCTTTCAAACGTGTTTGAGTTACCATTATTTCCTGTGAAAGCATTTGAGGAAAATCTTCTTTCTGCTGAACTAGGATCCACAACACCATTACTGTTTGAGGACAAACTGCCTGTAGAGGGCATATTTTGACTTTGAATAGTTCCAAACACAGTTCCCCATGTTTGTGTGTTGGATTCGGGATCAAATCCTGTCCCCATGAACTGACGGTTAACATTAGCGGAACCTGTAGGTCTAACAAATGAGTTGGATGTTCCCATATTTCCAGGAAGAACACTTGAAAAAGATCTAGAGTTTTGAACACCCATGATTTGTGGTACTCTTGTGGAATCTGCAGAGTTTGGAAAGGAAACAAAACTATCTCTATTCCCTGCAACTCCATCTCCAGTCAAAGGATCCACATTTGCATTTAAATTGGTGTTCATTCCATTCATTCTATTGTTTAAATTGGCGAAAACGCGGAAGCTAGAAGCATCTGGTATACGGGTATTGTTAATTTGTGACCTATTATTTGTGTCGCTTTCATTAGGATTGGAGATAATTCTCCTGATAGTTGTTGTCTTTTTTATGAATCTTCTAGTACTTGAACTGCCAGGTAAAGGTGCATTATTTTCTGTTCTAGATCTTTCCAAATTTGTCTGTGTCTGCGATGATATACCGTTACTCGGATCTGTCATACCCGTTCTAATTGGATCTAAATTAACTGTATTTCCACGTACTGCTGCCTCGTTGTTGGTTGGGAATATTTGTGAGGTAGTGGGTTGGCGCGAAAATCCTGTGACTTGTGCCGTTGTTCGAATTCTGTTCGGGTCTCTTAAATTAGTTCTACCTGGATCATTAATTGCAACATTTCCATTAAGCTCTCTGTTGGTTGTGCCTGGATCGTTAAATGCAACATTTGTATTAAGCCCTCTATTGATTGTGCCTGGATCGTTAAATGCAACATTTGCATTTAGCCCTCTATTGATTGTGCCTGGATCGTTAAATGCAACATTTGCATTTAGCCCTCTGTTGGTTGTGCCTGGATCGTTAAATGCAACATTTGCATTTAGCCCTCTGTTGGTTGTGCCTGGATCGTTAAATGCAGCATTTCCATTTAGCCCTCTGTTGGTTGTGCCTGGATCGTTAAATGCAGCATTTCCATTTAGCCCTCTGTTGATTGTGCCTGGATCGTTAAATGCAACATTTCCATTTAGCCCTCTGTTGGTTGTGCCTGGATCGTTAAATGCAACATTTGCATTAAGCTCTCTGTTGGTTGTGCGTGGGTCGTTAAATGCAACATTACCGTTTAGCCCTCTGTTGGTTGTGCGTGGGTCGTTAAATGCAACATTACCGTTTAGCCCTCTGTTGGTTGTGCGTGGGTCGTTAAATGCAACATTACCGTTTAGCCCTCTGTTGGTTGTGCGTGGGTCGTTAAATGCAACATTACTATTAAGCTCTCTGTTAGTTGTGCCAGGATCATTTACTGCAGCATTTCCATTAAAACTTCTGTTGGTTGTGCCTGGATCATTAACTGCGACATTTCCATTAAGTTCTCTGTTGATTGTGCCTGGATCATTTACTGCAACATTTCCATTAAGCTCTCTGTTGGTGCCTTGGAAACTTTGGATGCCTGGGTTTTGCTGCGAGCTCACCATAGAATTACCGCGTCTGGAAGGATCAAAGGAGACCATTGGTAAATTGTTATTACTTCCAACCTCTGGCAAGTTGTTTGGGAAATTGATATTGGAATTTACTCCAGGTTGATTTCTGGCTGTTGGGAGGTTTGTGTTAAAATTAGCTCCTGGTTGATTATTGGTGCCCGTCGCTGAAGAGGCTTCTTGGAAAGTTGTTTCATCATCATTATTGTTACCGTCCACAAACATAATTTTACTTCCTCTTTGGGAATTGGTGCTTGGTTGTCTTCTGGTAATGTTTGACACAGGATCCATTCTTACATCAAATCTATCGTTTAATGGGTTAACTGGAGCTACTGTTGATCCTACTGTAGAGAGAGTATTTTCAAAATCCGAGCGTTGGAGATTAACAGACTGAGGCTGCACGTCAACAGAAGTTCGGATGATGTTATTCATATCTACCTTAGAGCCTACTATATTGCTATTTCCATTTATAACTATGTTGGACTTGTTTTTAACCTCGGACACCGAGGTTGATGGGCGACTTATTTGACTGTTGTCAATACTATTTCCATTTTGTGCAATTGCTGTGGCGGCCTGATTTCTGGCTGGGTCTGCAAACACTGAAGGCATGAATTGCTGATTCAAAGGATCGATACCCCTGTTTGATCTAGTTTGAATTTCTGTAATGGTAGTACGAGACCTTGTATTTGGATCGTTGGAATTTCGACTAAAAATTGAATTAGAAGGGATCATCATTCTTTCATTTGATGTCCTCGATACTGTACTTATGCCACTTGGTCCAGGAAATCTAGACAGAATATCATTTGGATCTACCTGCCCTCCATTAGCTCTAATGTAGTTCCTAAAGTCCAAATCTAGTTCATCTGAGGGTGATGTAATTTTTCTGGTGCCATCAATTTGATTAATAGTTGTTGCTGTGTTTACTCTTACTATCCTCGTTTCATCATTTCTTCCAGAAGGATCAGTTAATATTTGTCTACTATTACTTACGGATAACCCAGTCCTAGAACCAGTAGCAGGAATGCCAACAGCTGGAGACCCACCAGTTCCAATAGCATTGTCTTGTGCCGTATTAGAGAACTGGGTTGGTGTAAACATTTGTTGAAGTTCACTCAGAGAAGGAATCCTTTCTCCGGTGTTTTCGACAGACACTGGCTGACGTTGAATAATGTTATTGGGAATGGCATTATTGGAGACACCGCTGGTAAGCACGATTCGATTCGGTGAATTGTCTGTTACCGTTGTGGTCCGACTGGAGCTTGGATCTGTGTTCGAATTTCCAAAGACTGTATTTAAAATCGCACTGGCATCAAAATTTTGTGGATTTACACTTGATACAGAATCAAACGAATTAAGTTGTCCATTTACAATCATTTGTGACGATGTACCATCATTAGAGTTGCTGTTACTAAAGCGTGAAACAAACGATGACTCTGCAGCAGACGCAGGATTCACACCTTCCGGTACTCCTGCATCGGAGGTTATTAAACCTGTTGCTAGGCCATTTGCTATCGAAGTTGTGGTGCCTCCTAGTAATGCATCCTGGCCAGTCAATGTTGTAATTAAATTTTGACCCTCTAAAGTGTTGCCCGGATCACTCAAAGTAATTAATCCTCCATCGAAACCTGACTGCCCCACGATACTAGCTGTGTCAGTCGTAGCAGGTAATGTTTGAAGTGAATTTGAGAATCCGCTTAAATCAAAAGTGGTTGGCACTGTTTCACCACTCAAGGCAATACTTCCAGTTCCTGCGTCAGATAAAGTTGTCACAGGGGGAGAAATGATAGGTAGTGGTGGTGGTCCAGGAATGGCGGGAAACCCGGGAGGGCCTGGTAAGAGAGTACGTACACCTGGTGGAGGGGGTCCAAATCCTGGAAACAGAGGCGGGGGAGCCCCAAAACCACGGAATACTAACGGGGTAAATCCTTGTTCAACGGAGAACTTAATGAACAAGAACAAAAGTACGAAAAAGAGATTCCAACAGGTTTTTAGATATTCCATGGTGCCCAGGACAAAGTGATTGTGAAAGAGTTCTGGAATGTGTAGATATGGTGCCTCGGGATGTTTTATGGCGCTGTATTTATCGATGAATGTGTTAAAGGATATGATGATCTACTAAACAGCCAGGGTCAGTGGCGATACAATATGAGACTTTATGGACAGTTTTATTGCAAAACGTGTATTGAACACAGAAGTTTTTAATGTTATGTATGTGTTATTACTTATTGGTATAATATACTGTTTCTTTCATCTGCACAGGTGATAGCGACCATTCAATTCCCAATCACATTATGCAGTATTAAAAAATATTTTTTATATGTCCTTTCTCCTTATACTTAATATGCCCCACATGAACTCTTTATCATTGTCACTGATGGACAAAGTGCGGTTTTACCATAACATTTATTTTTGTTTTATTTTATTTATTTCAATTTTTTTTTTTTTTTACAAAAATTTAATCTAATGATGCTGTTGTTTATTCTTTACAAAAATAGACATGTAAAGAACAGGAGGGTGGAAAAATCTAATCTGGAACTTTTTATTGGGAGGTTCCACCTTTCAGGTACAAATATGTCTGGATCTAGGTTTTTTTTAATAACGATGTTAAAAAAATATATAGACAGATAAATCGGATCTAACAAAATGGTCGTCTGTACTGACGGCTGGGTCAAGGAGAAGTCAGTGTTTTTCGTTTTTGATGGACAGCCCAGTCCCATTATATATATTACATTACCATTAATATGACCATCGTTGTCACAAAATATCATTTTATATAACGTAGTTTATACAATGTGCACTCTACAGCGTATGATCTAACATTAATACTTTATATAGGTTAAGATGTTCCTCAATTTTGCTGGTTGGAACAATTTGCTAATTTTGAAATAAAAATCTTATATATTGATTTAATAATTTAATATTGTATAAATGTACAATTTTCTTCTTATGGCATTAAAAGTGTAAATCTTGACACCCCCAAAATAACTTTACAGTTAAGTATAATAAGATATAGACTACGTTCATTAAAGTAACATTAAAAATTCAAAACGATTTTATAATAGAAAGTCAGAGTATCAAAATTTTCATATTTAAAGGAAAAAGTACTTTTTTTTAAAGAAATTCAGATTCTTTTATTTTATCTATTATCTTCAATTGCATTGTTAAAAATGCTATTTTGAATTTGGTGCTTTGTGGAGCATTGTGTCGGATCTTGATGTTTTAAAGTTAAAAATCTTTAAATATTTCCTATTCTACTTTAAATCAAATTCTTAACCCAAATTCAGTACCGGTATACGGTTTTCTATACGTTTTGATATGTTTCTTCGTTTTATATTTTTTTTGGGGGGGGATATTTAAAGTTATTTACAAAATAAAAATATACACAATATGTCCAAAATGAGTCATAATTGTAGCAATGTCCATATTTTCACAGAATCCTGCAAAATCGAAATTCTATCTTAACAGAATTGAAATGCTTAGCAAAGTTAAACATTAACCTTTAAGAATGATTTACAAATTCGACAAAAAATACTTTTTACTTCAAATTACTATGACTTCTTAACAAAATACATATACAGCCGTAAAATTGACATGCAATATTACTGCAATTCCTACGACTAAATTTTCAGGAAACCACCACAATTTATCTATACTTTTTTCAATTTAATAATATATATACATTTTCATTTAACTATACCATTTTTGGACATTTAAAAATTAGCTATAAATAAAATTGCATTATATAATAGTATTAAGAAAATTTATTTTTCAATAAAAGAAATATAAAACTATGACTCACTTATGGCCAGGTACTGGACATACTCATTTTCGAGAGAAAAAAAGGGAACAAAAAGACACAGACATACAAAAAATTGTATATTTATTATAAAAAACATAAGTACAAAAAATCACAGAAACAAAATAGGGCGACGCAGGAATAGCCCTTGTAACGTTGTAATAATTTAGTAAAGGACATCATGTATGATGACAGATTTTCTTTATTTCTATCCAGAAAGATCCGGACAAGCTCGCATCGTGCAGGCAGCCTGAAACAGAAGAAAAAGCACGTACAGACCATGGACATAAATCTCTGTTTGTCGGGGCCGTGAGATACTACCAGGCATAATCTTACAGTTCCCAGGTCCAGGGCACTAAACTGTAATTCCTTTATGACTTAATTGTTAAGTTATAGCTAAAAATCTAGATCTCGTGCCTAGTTTGTGCCTGGTAACAATAAATATAAACCAGGAACCAAATTTGTATCGGCACCATTTCCTAGATTCGGTATCTCTTTGTGCAACAATTAAAGCATGTGTGTGAGACCATCCAAAGGTTTATCTTTAACGATGACTCACATATACTGTGTAACCTATACTGCCCATCTTAGGAGGAATTTGTAAGAGAAATTAAATACATTATTGAAGCATCCTTACCTCTCCAGATTGACTGTTATTACAGGTACACACGTTTCCACATTGGTCAATCTGTCGAGACTGTCCGAAAGGAATAAATGTGTTCTGTGCCCGGCAACCTGATTGAAAGAAATTTTACATCAATTTTTTTTTACACTGAACATAATATAATGAAGCATTTTGTAAAAGATATATATTAAGCATATATACATGTAATTATTACATTTAAAAAACGTATACATGTTGTAATCTTACCCGCAACACACTGGCATCTTAACATAGGAATCCATTTCGGACACATATATTGAGCTTGTGCAGCAACAGTTGGGGTAAAGGCGCATTGTTGACCAGTTGGACAATCCCTGAAATAAAATCTGGTATGATTAATATATGAAATATGACCATCGTAAATGTATCAACTGAAAATATCTGGCTATGTATGGCTTAAAATGTAAAATTAACTTACGTCTGGTGACATTGTGTCTGGCTTCCTTGACCCCCGGGAACTAGAGAGGGTTGCAATTGTCCAGGAAATGCCCCGGGTTGTCCCGGAAATCCTTGTTGATTGGGTAATCCTGGCTGTCCTCCTGGAAATCCGTTTAGTGGTGGTTGTCCGCCATTAAATCCCTGTTGTCCAGCATTGAAACCCGGTTGTCCGAAACCTGGTGGACCACCATTGAATCCGCCCTGTGCACCATTGAATCCTGGTCGTGGAAATCCTTGTTGTCCGTTGAATCCTCCTGGCATATTAGGTTGACCGTTAAAATTTGGAGGCACATTGAACCCAGGTTGTCCGTTGAACCCAGGCTGTCCATTGAATCCTGGGAGATTGTTAAAGCCAGCTTGTCCATTAAATCCCATTCCTGGTTGTCCATTAGGTCCTGGCTGTCCATTAAAACCGGCCTGTCCCATAAAACCCCCTTGTCCAGGAACACGTCCTTGTGGTCCAAACTGAGGCGGGAATCCCTGATTCATGGGACCAGGGATACCCTGAGTAGGTGGAAACCCATTAACTCCAAGTTGCACTCCATTGGGAAACCCTGGTTGACCTTGAGTTAAACCGGTAGTTTGGGATGGGAGACCAGTGTTTTGTAAAGAAGTTGCGCCACCAATTGTAGGAAAACCTCCTTGAATCGTTCCAGTTCCGGTTCCAGCAGCTGGATTTGTTCCGAGAGTTCCGGTCTGGGTTCCCACTGTATTTGTTGTAGAGGCGCTTAATCCTGTGTTCACAGGTTGTAATCCAGAATTCAGATTTGAATCAGTACCTGGAGTTTGACTGTTTCCCAAATTCTGTGTAGGAAACGAAAAAACGTCCAAACCACTGCCTGTGTTCGGGGTAAGGTTAAGCGTGTTCCCTTGACTGAACACTGCACCAACAAAACACATCAAAATCCACCCAATTCGTAACTTCATCATTTTATCAAATAAACCTCTAATTTATTAAATTGAATTTATACGTGCGAGAGAAAATATTGGCAACCAATCAAATAGCAATATCTTAGTGAGTCGTCAGAGGGTTATTTAATCTACAGGGTGATCAATCGACTGACGACATCATTATGTCCGAGTTACACCAAGGACCGTACTGAAGTTCCATAATCTACCAAACATTAACATAAATGGCAAGGAAGTCCATGCCACATTTACAAACTGTTGTACAATATTACGCGTTAACTGAATATGTTCAAAAAATATAAAAGGAGTGTTATATTTGAAAAAACGTATTCTTGTTGTTTTTTTTTTTAAATTGTTCATTTCATTTTGAGAAAAATTCAAAACGAAATGGGTAGCACTCCTGTTATTCAATTTGAAATGGAATTTCATTCTTTAATACTAAATTTTCAATTACTTAATTGTAAAAGATTTACCGACATTTACTATATTTTGATAATCATAAATTAGCCATCTTACTGTGCACTGATTTTAATCAAATAAAAAGTGTACTTAAATGGTTCTCTTTACAAAACGCTTTTTTAAAAATATTGTTCAAATCAAAATTGCATTTTATATTTTCCATCATCTAGTAAAAAAAACAAGTATATACTGACAAAACGTCAGAAATACTCAAGCTGTAGAAAGTCAATTCGGAAGTGTCATTAATATCCCTAAATTTTATAAGATGAGGACTATTGAGTTCAATCTTCTGTTGAATAAACTACATGTACATGAAACAAAATTCATATATTGATTTTAATTAGAAGAAATATAATTAATCTTACTATTTTTTAAGAAGAATTTACGTGATACAATTTCAGGAATATTTTATAGGTTGCCGTTTCTTAATTTAATGAAATATTTTTTTATGTGGACATTTAGTATACGTTTTTTGTATTTTTTTTTTTCATAATGATGTACATCACATTCAATATATATCATTCTAAATAGCTTGCTACAAGCCTGTAGAAAAGTTTTTCAAAGTGGAAGGGGGGGGGGGGGCTCCGGGCTCCAAAAAACCTATTAAGGTTCCAAAACCACGGCCAAAATGTAAAACCGTGGCTTGAGACGATGAGGTTCATCTAGCTGAGCGGCATATCGAATACATATTCCATAAGAATCCAAAAGAAGTTATTATAAAATAGGTTCCGTTACCAAAGCTTCAAATAATACTAGAATTTAACATTTATTTTGTGCTATTATATTTTGCTGTAACTCAAAGTACACATCATTTGCAGGCCTGTGAAAAGCAAATTTAGTTGGGGGGTACAGCCATAAATTTTCTGACCATGCGTTGTAGAATTGTTAACGATGGGGTAACCTGCGTCATCTTTCAGAGTCTGCAGTGGACTCGTCCAAGGATGCTTTGTCGGCGACTGTCTAAGTTACCTGAGATTCCTACGCGAAGGAAAGCGCGAAATTTCTGTATAGAAACTGTTGCGGCTGTGGAGCTTCACTCATTGTTCATTCGCCATAGAATAGAATCCGACATTTAACACTTAATATGTTTGAATATACAAACGTTTTCAAGATGAGCTTCATTTTTGTCTCTAGAAATATTTTTGTCTATTAAAATAATATATTTTTGTGTTTTTAAACTAAGTAAATCGATGACCTAGCATCGTTTTAGATAACTCAAGCCCTTCTAGGGCTTGAGTAAAAAAGAACGAATTTCGCAGATTATGAATGAACTTGATAATGAATTTGATTTACAGTTTACATGTAATTCTAGGAATATTTTTAAAGATAAATAATGTTATTTCGATATTTTAAATTGAATATATAACTGGGATACATGTACTTCCGTAAGTTCTCAAAATGACAGTTACGGGACACATTTTAATGCACATATTTTTTTCTGATCTGCTAGCCTTCTTCACTGTAAAGTCATCATAATGATTAATCTGTTGACCGTAACGTTACACGATTTCTCACCTGAACACACCCTCAGGCCGAACTGCCTCTAGACTTATTGTATATCTATAAAAACAAATAGGGTCATACAGATAGATAAACAATTGTTTTTAAAAAATACATATATATCGATATATGCACAATAACATATCTTTCACCATATATTTGCTTCCTTATATAGGAAATATTTATACAGTTATTGCACGGAATATAGATTTCGCAACAGAACTTTATGAAAGGGTTTTATCTTTTTTCCAGGTGATTATACTTAGACTTATTTTTAGAAGAAAAGTGTTCTTTCTGTCTCCTTTTCTCATATGCACACATTACTTCTACAAATATTGTTAGTAATTAGAATATTATTTTGATAATCATCGTATATTAATTAGTAATTATGACGTGTGGAATGCAGGTAAAAGATATACAAATTGATAAACAAGTAGATAAAAATGTAGAAATTTCTCATAGGGATCGTTTTGGCCTTGTCAACTTCTACGGAAACAAGTGTAAAAATGCTCATTTACATTTTGAACCCTAATGACTGGATTTCTGTTGAAAATGACGTAATGTTCTTGCTAGTTTAATGTCATCTTGATGTATGGACAGAGCTATTTGGGACCATAGAACCTAACTTTCATTATGACTAACGAGCTAGGTAGAACATCAAAAATCAGAATTTCATAAATGTATTCTGAAATTAAAAAGAACCCAGGTCACCTTTTCTTCAACATTAACGCGGATCATCTACCGCACTTCAGTTTTTTACTTCAAATTATGTTATATACTTGTAGATGTCCCAGTGCTGAAATCTCCCCAGAACTAGGTTAAAGATATATGTACTGTTCTTTCATGGAAGAGTTTCTTGTAAACCATGCATGGGGCCAATCTGTGGTCACCACTGTAAGAATTGGATTATCATTTATTGCTCGGTACATTGCGGGGGTGACATGCAGAACTCAGTTTTTATTCTTTAGTTCGCGTGTTACCCATAAAGATGTAATAATGGCTAAGCCCACAATTATTAATTCAACCATAACTATTTTTATGGAATATATGGTGGCAATAGTAAGATATATGGCTGTAGTAAAGAGAGAAAAGTGCAGATGAAATGATTCAAATGTTGCAGACATAAAGTATGAAAGTAATATCATGATATAGGATAAAATATCTTTGCTTGAATATGGACGGATTTTGAATGCCAATAAAACTATCATGAGCTATAGGTTATAACTGGTGAAAAAGTATGTTTTCCTGTGGCCGGGAAACCCAAAATATGTGTCTTAAAATAGAAGGTGCACAATGGCAATATGTAATAAAGATTTTTCATCAAATTTCATGCAGTGGTATGAGAGGAGTTGCGGATAAGAGATGGGTACCCCAAAGCGTAACAGACGGACGGACGGACGGACGGACGGACGGACAGACGGACGGACGTACAAAATATATATAAATATATCATTATTAAAAATCTTGCATTCAACGTCACTACTTACAAAATGCTAAGATATTTTCATACGGTCTTCACACAATTTTTTTACTGGAATAGAAATTTGGTGTTTTGACTAGTTACATAGTCATATTTTACCCAAATTTTCTATTTTAGTAAAAACAATTGTGGGAAGACAATACTTTTACAGGGCCTATTTTGAAACATAACGACTTTTGTTCCTTTAAAAATATTCTTTAAGCAACAGACAGAAAGCATTTTCTTAGAATTGATTGATTTATAATAGTTTTCAAATCATTTTTTCGAGATCGTATTATTTTGTTTTTTCTTTTTTTATATTTAAAAAATTTGTATTTAATAAGAATATTTCATTTCCCCTAGTTTTCCATGCATCAATTGCATAAGCGTTGAATTTTGCCGTGTCCATGACTGTGAACATTAACACATTTCCTGACACTGTGATATTTTGGACAGGTACAGACACCATTTTCTAATTTTACCAAATATGTTCTACCGGTATTTACCGGGATCACGTTGGGATATGCTTTATGGGGATTTCATATCTTCATATCAAGATCGGCTCACACAAAATAAATTATACAGCCGAATTTTCTTTGTTCTATGGCTCGTTTCCTCACTTGGTAAGGTGACACATTTGACGGTTGGATTTCTGGCCATCAACAGAACACGCTTGGCCATCAAATGTTGTGTGTATGGCATAGAGACATTACAACTACCATGGCCATCGGTATAAAAGCATAAAGATGTCCACAAGCTGACCAATCAGATTTGAAAAAGCGATGACACATTCGTATCTACTATTAGTATATTGCCATTTGTTCCCTCGGTGTATTAAAACAATGGGATGTTTAGAATGCGCACGTGAAATACACAGATAGTTTTGATTCTCATCAAAAAGTTTCTGACTGTGCAAAAAAAACAATGGATATCTTAAAGATTCTTTTTGTGACTGTATTGTTCTCTTGTGTTTGTGACGGAACTTATTTCTTCAAACCCAAGAAAATATTGCTGCCTCCGATTCATCATCATCATCACCACCACCATCATATCCATCCTCACCCCCACGCTCCTCATCCCCACCCCCCGAAGCATCCCCCTCACCCCCACCTCCCTCATCCTCACCATCATCATCCTCACCCCCACGAGATGGACGAACATGGATATTTCCATAAATTTCACAAGCCAAAGTTCATCCATCACAAAATTCGTCCACTTCCAAAGCCAGTGATGTATAAGACTTTCCTCATTCGGAAGTACAGTTTGCCACCTGATTTTCATGTGCATATTCCGTTGAACAAGAAAATATACGGACACTCTCATGGACCTTTTAAACCACACACTCATTATCACAAAAAGCCAATGTTTACGACGTACCAAAGAAAAATGAAGAAAACGTTCGAACCGAAAAAATTTCCTCGTAAATATGGACAATATCCTGTGAAAAATGGTTTGACATACGGAACTAGAAGGAAAGTTCCAAGATTTCCACAACCAGGTGTGCAGATACAAACCAATATGTTTCTTCCTACAGGAATTCTACATCCACCAACTAACAGGCTCTCAAAGAAGCCACAGACTAGCAAATATGAACTATGGCTGAGGAAGATTAATGACTGGATGATAAGGAAACAGAATACCGGTAAGGGAATTCCTGTAAAAACAAAACGAAAACGGATTTTCAATGAAATATATACGAATATTCCTTATCCTCCAAAACGGCTAAACATTCCCAAACCTCGGCCACCTAAAAAAGATGGCGGTATCATTGCCAATTTTGTGGTTGTAAAGCCACCTTTTATCAGTAAGAGTGAGGATCCAGCAGGGCCTGGGATCCCCGTTTCTGAAAAACCCAAGCCTTCAAATACTAACGAGATCAGGAACAATCCAACGCCAAAAATAGATAAGCCGCGTCCTAAAGCACCAGTTATGGGTATTCCTATTAACCTGGATAATATAGGCCCGCCATTCGATATTACGGAAGTCAATGATCTTCCTACGGGTGGTCTACCTCCACCTATTGAAATTGTTCATGAACCAATCCCTAGTAGTACTGGAGGTGTCAATAAACTCGATGTGGGGCTTCCTACAGATTCTGTCACTCCACCCAGTATTATAGTGGATGGACTACCAACTGAACAGAATGTAAATAGCATTGTTCCACTTCCCGGGAACCTTAACGAAATGTTGACGGATGTAGCTGATTTGTCTGAATTTCCAAATTTAGACCTGAGCAATGAGCCATTAATAATTGAGCCTTTTGGTGTAGTACCACCGGATAGCCAGTCTCCCCTGCCGCTGGACATACAACCGTTTCCGTGGGACCTCTCTCAAAAACCCTTCCCACCGGAAATAATTCCTCGTATATCAAACAAGGAAAAGGAACCATATGTTATGCGGCCATTGGAACCTATTGTTAAAATAATTGGCCGGGACAGTGTAAAACGTAAAAACGACACTATATTTGTACCTGAGCCAATATCTGATCCAAAATATAACGAAACAGCACATGTAAATGAATCGCCATACAGCATAGTTACCGAGGGTCCAATGGAATCTTCAACAGAAACAACAAAAACGACAATGCCGTCGATCCTTTTACATAGAATTAAAGGTGTCCCCAGTGCAACAGCCGTCTTCACAACACAGCAGCCATCAGCAACTTATCCTACAACAACAATGACCCTACCACCTCTATCATTTATTGAGGTAAGAAGGTTCGAACAACCAACGTCTGCTTCAGATATCACAACAAAGACACCAACAAGAAAATTAGAGATAACATCGACAACAACTAGCAGTATTCTTTCAACAGAGCCTGCAATAATTGTGAATAGAACAACTGGTGACGGTCAGAATAATATAGATATGGTAGATCAAAAAATAGAAAAAGAACAGAAGAATAAATCAGCATTCTTTAAATATAAACCTCAGGAAATAAACATCTCATTTCCGTACTTAATTTTTGATAATCCAACGACTACAACATCAGCGCCAAAGACATCAATAGAAGCGACAACGCCAGTTACAAAAACAACAACTACGGGTACGGAAATGTTAACTGTTAAGACGACCGCTAATGTGCCTCAATCAACAACTAACTTATTTAAAGATACGCCAGGTGTGGCAACATTAACGACAACAATACCTGCACCTGTGGTTGACGACCAGGTAAACGAGGAAATAATTTTGGATTTTATGACAAATAAACAGATTATATCGTCAAGATCCGACGTTGCGATTGATTATTCGACTCCAGATAAAGAAACAACAACAATACAAGTAAGCAGTACGTCAAAAACAGGTGAACCTACAACCATCTGGCCCACAACGATGAAAGAAACAACAATTGCAACAACGACTACTGAATTACCAACAACAACACGAATCCTAACGAGCCTGAAACCAAATACAAAAACAAATGTTACACCGGAACTTGCTGAGATTGTTATGGCTTCATCAACTACACAGCCTCTAACGACAACAACAACAGCAATACCAAATATAACTGAAACAACACAAATACCGATAACTTCACATGATTACTATTCAGACACAGAGACACCGGTGTACGACTATGATACAGTTCCTTATGACTGGTTTTTCAACGAAACTGAAAATAACACATACATATATTATGATGAATTTATGAATATGACAACACACCAAACAACTGATATAGTCCTGGAAAGTACCACATCACCATCAACTATAAGAACAACGACCCCAACACTATCAACGACACAAACGACTCCAATATTGGTATCTTCGGGATTTTTATCTAGTAACAAACCTACCACAGAAATGATGGATTTCAGAAGCACAAAGCAGACGACAACACTCGAACCACCAACCCAGACAACAGAGCCGGTGTATACTTCGACAACAACTTCTACCGAACAGGCAGCAACCACAACGACACAACCTGAGCAGACAACATTGAGAGAAGATAAAACAACAACTCCAGTAGTAGTCACTACATCAACTCCTTCCTCAACTACAACAGAGGGGCTGAAAGTCTGCCAAGAAACGTAAATATTTTAATTTTTCAGAATAAATTCATAGAAGATTTCTATAATTTATGCTATATTGCATTCCTTTTTCACATTTTTAAATGTTTATCTATGTTTTGCAGATATTGTAAAATTGGTCAGGAATGTACCAAAAATAATACATGGTTGTGTCCCACGGCTGTGACTGGAACTAACTGTCAGTGTACCCAGGGCTGTAGAGTAGGAAATTTATTTATTCCACTCGGTGAATCCTATCAGTTGGATGAGTGCGGAAGTGTTTGTTCTTGCTTCAACCTTTATGGAAAGGTAAATGAATGTATTTTTTACGAAGTACTTTTTCGAAAAGGAGGCGGTAGTTCCTTTATTCTGAAGCATAAGCTGTAATTTGTATTTTAAATTTTGTATTTGTGATCATTAATTTAATTTTTTGTTTTTTTTTCTCTATCCCGCTAGGCTGAGTGTCACAGACTCCGATGTTCTAACAGAACTGTGGCGGATCCCGTAAAGAAGCAGGCAAACTACACCGGCATATCTATAGGTGGTGTGATATACATTCCTGTACAGCGTGTTCGGATCCCGAAAAATAACCCGAACACTCCTGGTGAGGACGAAAATACGTATGGGATTTCAATTGGTGGCGTTATTTATATACCAAAACGAAATCATACGAACTCTGAACTCGATAAAAACGGCGACTGGACGTCGGGAATATCCCTAGGTGGGGTCATTTATGTACCTTCCCGCGAATACACAAATGAACAAAATGGCAAAACTGATTATGAAAATGTTGTTGAAGGCAATTCCTCATGGACAAAAGGAATAACTATTGGGGGCATCATATATGTTCCAGTGCACAAAAGAAAAAAGACTTTTCAAGAAAAGAATCGTGAATTTGAAAACATATATGACAAGACAAATTTCGCTGATGCAGATGTCATATCGGTAAAAACACCTTATGGCACCACAAGAGGAATCACTATTGGAGGTGTTATTTACATACCGAACAAAAACAATAATGAACCTGTCCAATTTCTTGGCGAAAGCGAAATACAGCGTAAAAATAAAGAGGATAAAAACCAGACCTCGCCCATAGAAGTGGAATACCCAGTGGGCTGGACAAATGGCATATCAATCGGGGGGATCATTTACGTGCCCGTCCGACAACGTAAGAAGGTTGTACACAACCCTACTTATCAAATACCAGACATTCAAACCAAAAACTACACTGAAAATAACTTTCCTTATTTGACCAAAACGGCTGGAATTCACATTGGAGGTATAATTAACGTTCCGATTGCAAAAAGATCCTCTATAAAATCTATTAAGATAAAGAAGATGAACCCGGCTTTTGGATAAGTTGTCACAAAAACTTACATCTTTCTTCTATATGCTACAAACTTCATCGTGACGAGGCACACAGTCCCATTTGTATGTTATTTATTTTGCTGTTTTATTATTGTCATGTTCTGTTATTTGTGTCATGCTTTTTGAAATCCTTTTATAATAAAAAGTTTAAAATTCAAATTTTGTGAAGACTTGTTCATTTCATGACTAACACAGAGGTTTCCGGGAGTTGCTTTCAAAATCAAAGTGGCACCTTTTAATCACTTCTTTATATTAAAAATTACAAAGGTTATGCAATGTCTAACAGATATTTTTTATCTTATTATTTTAAAGGTTCAACTCTATTTTTTTTTTTTTCTAACACGTGCTTGGACGCCTACACCAATATTTTTTAGTAGTGATATATCAATAATTATGAATAAGTCTAAGACATATCACTCAATATTTTTGTCAATTGTCTGGTGTACGACCCTTGTTTTGTATAATTTAATGTCAATATTCGCAACTTTCATTATTTTTTGTATATTTCAATCATTGCACTGTCAGGTTAGTTATAACTTTGCCGACCATTTATGTACCAACCGGTGACGAAGCATATTATCTTTTCTGTCACTTAAGCCTTCATAGTCACATTATGCGACACACGAGTCATCTCTGAGGTCAAGTTTTTTGGTAGGGTCTAACTTTAATAATAGCAAGAATAAAATATATTTTTTAATCATTAAGAAACAAGACATATCCGGTACTACATGTATATTTTCATCATAAAATAAAGCTTAAGTTAAAGGGGCATGGACAAAGTTTAAGCTAAAATAAAATTTAAATTAGTTTTCAAATTTTATCAAATTATTAACTAGTTCTAATAATGATCAGAAAAAAAAACTGAACTTCGGTTGTCGAGATACAAGACAGATATAGAGCTTCAAAACTTTGATATGTAATCATGGTCCTTATTTCCTATCTAGCTTGTAACACGAGCTTTGATTGGTTAAAAAGTCGGGTGTAAATATCCGTGCACCCGACTTGAGCCGGGTGTAAATAAAACGTGACGTCACAGTGTATACATTCTCAGTACGTAGTTATCTAATCGATAGATTGAGACACACTCTGATGTTTACAAAGCATTTTTATTGGTACAAAGGAAATAAATTCGTTATCCAGGTCCAATCAACAAATGTATGTTTAAAATTTTTATCATACACCCTTCGGCCTGCGGCCTCAGGGTGTATGGAATAAAACCCGGGGTAAATTCCCGTACACCCTTGATTGAACCTGGATAACTAATAGTGTCATGTTTTTTTTTTTTTTTTTACATAATGTTACTATATATGTTCGTACAAAGCAGATAATTTCAATAAAAAAAAGTTAATTTTAAATTCAATCAGTCAATTTCTAGTGATTTTCTGAATTTCTTTTTCTTATAAATATAATATTTTCTATATGTGAACATAAACAAGGCCCGTGCCTTGTTTATGTTAACATAAACTTTAAGTTCTCTATCTCGTTTGTTAATAAACAAATGATGTTCAAATTTTTACTGATCAGTAAATGATGCCATTCCTAGGAATTGTAAAAAATAAAATTCATTTTCAAAAATCAGTTGAAACTGTGTCCATGCCCCTTTAAAAATACAATTTTTCTTTAATTTTGGTAACTTTTCTAATTTATTATTTTTTTCTGCATCGTATTGCACTACGTGATCTAGCTGCAGAACTGTAGCTCTCTGCTTGAGAAAATTCTCGAAATACCCGAAGTGAGCGACAAAAAATTGTCAGCGTAATTCGAGGGTTTTTGGATCTTATCTGTCCGAATTTTCTCAAGCAGAGAGCTACAGTTCTGCAGCTAAACATGATCCGAAATCGGGTTCACGGTTTCAATTTTTATTAGAAATATTGCTCTAAATAAATGTTACAAAATATGGGAAATATATAATAATATATATTTTTGATTTTAGGGCACTAAAATGGTTTTCTTACATGAAAATTTCATATTATATGCCAAAATAGATCAAATTAACCTCAAAACATAATTACATATTGAAGTTTGAAAATGTATTTCCCTTACTTACCTTCATCACCTGCAAACAGAGTTTTTATTTCTCGGTTGATTCGACACACAAGAGCATGCTCTACGTATAAACAATTTACAAATTCGGATTAGCCAATATCCAGTTAAGTTAAATTATTTGTGTAAATTTGGTAATGTCATGCTATAGACCCGATATAGTAATATGTTTTTATGCAAAAAGAACAATCATTAAACTTTTGAAATAAGAGTAGGTATCACATGATTGGCAAAAGTCATTTTTTATTCTTAATGTCAAGGAAAAAGATAATGACCTTGACCTGACCTTGCCTCAAATATAAAACGGTCAAATTTAATTTCACTGATACTATCACTTACTGGTATTGTCTTCTTGATTCTGTGAAAATTTCATTAATTTTTAATATTAGAAATATGAGAAGAATCCTACCTTATATTGAGTAACTTTTAAGAAAAACTTCAAACTTGGCCGTAACTTCTGAACGTTTCTGTTAAGGCTTTCATACTAGTTCTGACTATTTCACAGGTGAGTTTCTTATGTCAAGAGTATCCCATGGATATCAAAACATTTTTACCCCTTGACCTCAGAATCAGAGGTGACCTTAAAAAACTTTAATCATAGCAATACCCTTTGATCAGTTGGTGCTATAGAGCTTCTTTATTTCAGATGTTTGTTCCTTGTGACAAGACCTTTCCTTGGGCACCATTAATTCAGATCCTTTCATCTTGAAGGTTGACCTACTTTTGAGAAACTTTAATATGGGCATGAGCCATCATTTTAAATGGTTCGAGCTAGAACTTAATTCTTTTTTTCACATGTAATTTTCTTGTTACAGCCGTTTCTGAGTGTACAACTATTTCTTCTCCTGGCCTTGGGCTTTGACATGCATTTCATAAACTTTAACTCTCACTGTGAGTTGTCACGCGTAGGTATCAGTGTTACACATACGTCTTGATTAGAAGTTGCTGAACATCGAAAAATAACAGATTTATTTTAAAAAGTTTACTATGCGTGTACAAATTTAAGTAAGACAATTAAATCATAATTATTCAGTAATTCAAGCTAGATTACTATTCCTATTGTGAAACAGTTCTCCAAAAATAAATTCATATCACAGAAACATGGTCTCTCTTGGCCAAATTTAAGGTTTAAGGTTGGAATGAATTTCAGCTATAATCTCGACATGAAGAAGAGCATTACTAAGCATAGAAATCTTTTTTTTTTAAATATCATGTGAAAATAATTATTGCTACACAACACACATGCTGGTTGTGCGAGAAGATTTGTACACAACAACAGCAAAATAAGGCCGAAAACACAATTAATAAATTAGTTAAAAGATTCAAAATGGATTGCATTGCACTTAATACACGGATATTTCCTGGTGGTGAAAGCTTGAACGTTTTAAAATTGTTGTATGTTTCAAGTCCACTCAACTCCTTTTCCTAGCTCTGCTTTTGTAAATCTTTGAGTGATAACGCTTGTTAGAATTACCAATTTCATAAGTTCAAAACGTAGAACTCTTTTATAATATGTATTCCGATCAAAGATCATAATTCATCAATGATTATCCCATATTTCATTTATCGCATACCTAGCATTGTAAGTAAATGGCCAACATGACTCATCTTTTCATTTTGTCATTAATAATGGTCACATCTTATAATATATTGTCACCTTTTATTGCTGTGCACGATTAATGCAACCAGTCCACGGTCCGTTGGTCACCTTGCGTTGTCCTGACTGAACATTAAACCGTGCTTATACGTCATGGGTCTTTACGGTCAATTCGAGTATTAAAAATCCATTAAATGAACGTAATAGTATCCTGTGAATGACCAAACTTGTGAGTTTCATTCACGAGGAAATGTTTCCATTCATAAGAGTAGTGGTTCAGTGACGTATGCTTCCTGAAGGTGTGAAATGCGTAAACATGCCGTAAACATGTGTAGATGTCTTGTATATAAAAGAAGACAATACAGTATGCATGCATTATTGAGTAAGAATAACAACAACTACACTGAACCTTCTAATCTTTCGGATTAGCTATTTCTAAATACAAAGAACCATGCAGTTTCTTATCCCATTTCTCCTTTTCCTACAAATAGTCAGCGCAATGATACTTCCAATTGGTCGCCCTGTTCGGGTCAGAGGCGATATAACAATGAGACCCAGGTTTCGACGATTTCCAATCAGATACATCCCGCTAGTCGGCAGAATTTTCAGGAGCAGACGATTTAGACCAAACACACATATCCACGTGCCATTCAATGGAAGACAATTCGAACACTCTCATGTCTCCAGTGATGTTGGTCATTCACACAACACAGGATTCCCTTCAGGGATCTACCCCGAAAACGGAGTCGGGTGGAACGTGCCAGATGAATGGAGGGATGCTAACACGTGGTCAATGTTTGACAAGGTCAACCCAGATTCTGTTCTTGTATTGAATGATAAGCTTCCGGACAACACACCAGACTCTGTGAGCCCCGGCGTCCCACTGTTTCCGGATAACATCGTTCCATCTAATGTTGAGGTCCCAATGGTTACATCGGAATTTCTACCAACTTCAGATAAACGAGAAGAACCCGTGGTAACAAGACCATTAACTCCCATAGCAACAGATAAAACTGATGTTTCCTCAGTACCAGAAGTGAATGGGGGTAACATTGATTCGACTGGCACGATCAGAAATCAAGAAAACTTGGGAAATAATACCAGCACCATTGGAAGTGACACAAACCTGGTCCCAGATTCTAATACAATAACTGTAACGAACGGACAAGAGAGTACGAAGACCAGTGAACCATCCTGTCATAAAACGTAAGTAAATTACAAAATTAAATGTCAAGATTATATTTAAAACGATTTGAATGTAATATTTTTATAACATCAAATTTCACAAACCAACATAATTTTTTTTCTGAAATATCATTTTTTACCACCATTTTCTCTCTTTACAGAGGTTGCATGACGGGACACGAATGTGTTTTTTCTGGTTCCCACATTTGTCCCATATACATACCGGAAGTCGACTGCAAGTGCAGAGCAGGTTGCAGAGTCGACTATACATTTATACCATATGGCACAACTGTTACCATGGATACCTGTGGAAACACGTGCTCTTGTTTTAATATGTATGGAGCTGTAAGTATTCCTTTTTTTTTTTTTTTATCAGACCAAGAGAATTGTGCAACACATTATATTACTTTGTGATTTTATGACGAAAATATCTACATTAATTTTCTCTTTATTTTACAGCCAACTTGTTCTAATAAATCATGCAAAGCTCCAAATAACTCGGAGAAATTATTACCATCTGATCAAATTCCAACAACGGAAGTATCCGACATTTTACCAGCCGACATTTCAACATCACAGAATCCGTTACCGACTGCGTTCACCTCTGACGTCACCACGACATCTAAGCTGAAAATCAACAAAAGAAAGGACAGCGTCCAAATGAATTTTCCCGTGATTCCGATCGTCAAAGATTCGCAGAAAATTTAAAATAGTGCTTTTGTTTTAAAGAGATTATTTTCATAAATGATTTGAGAAATCCTTCTATTTAAATTATATGATGTGCTTTCAAATGAAATCCATTGTAACAAATAAATTTTGCTACTACATGTATTGATGTTTTATATCTCTCTGGTGTTTTTTAAAAGGATCCAGTGTCTAGCAGAAATCAAATTTCATGGGATTTCAAAATAGATGTCATTTAATATACATGTAATCATCAAGTTTGTCAGGCCTTCTTCCGAAGAACCACTGGCTCAGGCAAGCTGAAACTTATGTGGAAGCATCCTGGGGTAGTGTGGATTTTAAATTATTCAAATCATGACTCTCGGGGGTAGGACGGGGCCATAATTTGGAATCCAAGTTTTTCATTGAAAATTACATGAATTTTGGTTCTTAAATCTTCTCAAAAAGAACCACTGGGCCGGGAAAACTTATACTTGAAGTATCCTGGGATTGTGTAGATTTTAAAATGTTTAAATCATGACCCCTGGGAGTATATAGGGCGGGGCCACAATAGGGAATCCAAGTTTTACATCGAATATATAGGGGGAAAAATTTAAAAATCTTCTTCCCAAGAACCACTGGGCCAGAAAAACCGAAACTTATGTGGAAGCATATCCTAGGCTAGTGTAGATTCTAAATCGTTCAAATCATGACCCCCGAGGGTAGGGCATGGCCACAATAGGGGACCCACATTTTACATTGGAATATGTAGGAAATACCTTTAAAATCTTCTCGGGAACCACCCAGTACTGGGCCAGGAAAGCTGAAACTTATGCGAAAGCACTATGGGGTGGCGTAGATTTTAAATTGTCCAAATTATGACCCTTGGGGTAGGGTGAGGTCACAAAATGTATTACAAGGGGGAAGTCTTTTAAAGAGCAGCTTGGTCAAAGCTATTCGGGTGAGCGATGTGGCCCGTGGACCTCTTATTTTGGTTATGAATTCAAAGAAAAGCCTATGTAACTAATTGCAATGAAACAATAATTTAAAAATTTGCAGAGAAAATAATTAATTTCTTTTTCTCGAATAGGAGGGTTGATCAATGAATATCGGGTTATTAATGTGCGGTAATATTTATTGATTAGGTACATGATTTATTTTATTAATTCTAATCATAAGATAACATGTGTGTACACTAATAAAAAAGACCAAAATGGATCTCCCTGCATTGGTCCAATATCCGACTTACTTTTTAACAGTTTCATTACTGTCTTTTGTTAATTTTCAATCTGAAGTTGAAAATGATTATATGACAAATTAATTTGTCTTGTAATCATTTTCAACTTCATATTGAAAATTAATAAAAGACATTACTTTCAAACTGTGAGTAATACATTGATATTACTACTAGTATATCACAACGATCGGATCAAGGGTTTTAAACCACTTTTAAGTTATAATTACTTTTCTACTTCCAGAGGCGTAGTCACAAACTTAAAAGTGGGGGGGCTCAACTCCAGAAATTCTTTGAAAAGAAAGAAAGTTAAAAAAAAAAAAAACTTAAAAGTGGGGGGGCTCAACTCCAGAAATTCTTTGACAAGCAAAAAAAAAAAAAAACAGGAAAGTTCCCCAAACTCGAAAATCCTATTTCGTGGGGGGGGGGGGGGGGGGGGGGGGGGGGGGGGGTGGGGGGGTAGAGGCCAACTTTTATATATATTTCCTATATAAAGGTAATGTTAAGGAAAATAGCTTCTTTTAAAAAGTTACAATACTCTTGCCCCCCACATCTGAAAGTGGGGGGGCTAGTGCCCCCGCTGCCCCCCCTGTGACTACGCCTATGACTTCTATTTACATGTATTTATATTTTTTCATATAAATGGTAATCAACAGTCAACCTATCATTTTTAATACGTTATAAATGAAAACTTTTATTGCCATAATCGGCAATGACGAAATGTCGCCATGTGTCGAGCTTTTGGTATGTGATCGTCTACTTTCTGGGTGATATTTGACAGATCTTACGAAATTCCAAATAGCCACACGTTTGTTTGTGTAGCATGCGTACTTTCCTTGAACGTGGGTCGTATGATGTATTTCTAATATACCCACACCTCATTCAGGGATTGGGGTTATAACACGATATATAGATAAATATACCCACCAATACACACACTCATACTCTCCAGACATAAACAATCACATATACAAACAAATCAATTAAAACAAGATCCTAATTATTGAGTGGATGTTTGTAAACATTTCTGGACTTAGCAATTCTGTGTGTATTGGACAAAAAACAGGGATGTATTCATGAGGAATAATTAAAGAAACAATAATATTTTTTTTCTTTCGTAAAATAACAAAGTTCCCCATGGTACTACGTTCAACAATGAACATTCTATTAAAACTGTTGTGTTTTTTGTTATGTTTTGTGCATGTCGATTCCTTTCTCTATGCTTCTGTTCCGTGGACTGTAATAATTTTCGATAACGTAGAAAACGATGCATCTGATAACTATTACACACCCTTCATGGAAAATCGACCCTTGGGGCCAGTGAACAACAGGGGGAGGAGACCCCCACCTCCTGTGCGCAACCTAAGACCCCCGATTCCCATGGGCAACATGCGGCCTCCACAAAGGATGATTCCAAATACGATGAACGTTCCGAGACGGGAAGCGGTTACGCCCGTAAATACAGTCAAGTACATCTCCCCCTACCCTAGGTAATAAGGGCTTCAGTATAACTGAAATAAATCCTGAAATCTTTTTGCATTCTGCATGCTTCTTATGATTGGATGATGATATATTTGGTTCGTCTCTTGCAGTACACCCTATTGTCCTGTTGGCCAGCAGTACGTTTATTTGCCGCCCACTCTGGATGGTGATGCTGTAGCCTCGATCTGTCCCCTGAATAATTCCGTGCATCCCCTTTGTAGATGTCAAACAGGTGAGAGACTTAAAAGCTATTTATCTATTGTTAAATGCTAAAATGTCATCAATACTTTCCAATCAATTTATCTCTTTTCTAAGTTCAAAAACATTCTTTCATAAATTCTTTGCATCAATTTGTCTTCTCCTTGCAGGCTGTCGACATAAAAACTTTTTTATTCCCTATGGCACGTCAATAATGGTTGATAAATGTGGAAACAAATGCTACTGTAATAGCTTAAATGGCGAGGTAGGCTTTCATTAGACCAAAATATTTATCATAAATCATCTGAAAATCGGAGATTATATGTGTATAGCTGTTAATTTTGTTTTTACGTCTTGCAGGTGGAATGCGAATTTGACAGTTGTTGAGTGAAACTGCTTCGTTGTGCTTCCTAGAGTGCTAGTCGGAAATTCTATATCTGAACTGAAGTAATAGTGCTAAAACTCGATTTGATGACAAGTTCAAGTTGTGAAGTCTGACTGGTTTTAGTGTATCTTTTATAAAGAACTTACAAAAGTTTATGTATTCCAAAGAGTTTAATAAAATGTTACAGATATTGTTTTTGCAGTTCAAACACTTTTTTTCATATTAACGAAGTCGGTGCAGTGCACAATACGCTGAAAATTACAGAAATGCAATATATAAACAACGATACATGACAAAACAAGCGTGGTGCAGTGCCTGTATATAATATATTGTCTTTGCAGACTTTCTTTAAAAAAAAAAACCCTAAAGATGCTGTTATAATTGCCGAAAGGCTTGTCTTTGCACAAATTGCTGAGTAGGATGAACTCCCAACCCCCGTCAACAGGCCGCCTCTTTACAGATCACACGTAAGTGGTCAAGTGGCCATACCTAGGATAAACCAATGTTACTAACAGTTAAGTCATTTCCTGGGGTAAATCTGTACCTCTAGGCCATAGGAAAACATCTATGTATTGCTGAACATTCCGCAGGCCGCTTGTCATAGAAAAAAAACCTTGTTACCATCTTTATGATTGGATGGTCATAAAGGAGCAGCCAATGGTACACGTTCTCTCTTTTCTCAAGATGTAAGCGTGCGTGGCGTTACGTAGTCCGTCAATCCTGATTGATGGTCATAATTTAATAGAAATCGGAACATGTGTTGACGTCTATTAGTTCTCATACCCACACTTTAAACGTCATTTCTTCTCATATATACTCAAAAAACTGTCAACAAATGCATATTGTATTTTGATAGTCCAATCAGCTAGAAGGACAATGAAGTTAGAAATAATTGTTTGCCTTTTGTGTTTTGTATCTTTAACAAATGCTTACTCTTACAAGAGGAGAAAAAATTGTGTGAAGCGACCTTTGCCATTTCCTCCGACTTATCATTATTACAGACCAAGGTTTCCTCCAATGCCATTCCCAAGATGGCCCCAGTGGAACGTGCCCGCTCCAACTCCTGTGGCCTTGAAGTTTTTTGAGATTGGAGGACAACCTGCGCCAGGAAACGATCAAATTCTACCTTTGTTTCCTCAGCCCCAGCCACCTATTGACGTTAAACCTGTTATTCCGGATAACTCCGGACCCGTGATCGTAGATCCGGTGAATCCGGTTATAGAAGATTCCGGACCCCTCCGTGGGGATCTTGCTCCAGGTCGTGATATTGTACCACCTGTACTGAATGGTAAACCCTGCAATGCCATGTGAGTAATAGAAAGTATTTTATGTTTTCCCTTTGATGTGATTTACAACAGATCTCACCAGGAAGAATGATTCATATTTTTCATTTCTTTTGAACAGGAGTAATAACTGTGCCATTGGAGAAGTTTGTATGTATATTGACCAGTCAGTAGGAAATAGCTTTGTCTGTCCCTCAGCGACTGCAGTATCATGTACTTGTCAACCAGGTAAGCATTTATAACTAATACAATGTACTCTCTACCTAACACAAGAACTTTTATTCCTCTCACACAAAACCAATTCCTTTTCTAACAAATCAGCCTAATTTCGAGCACTCTGTATTCTTCAATCTCTACCAATTAACTCCCTAAGTCTGCACATAAATAGAAACATTTATAACGATCACTTTGTGGCGTTATACAGGGTGTCGGCATGGGGACCTATTTATTTCACTCGGTAACACGGTGTCGGTGGATCAGTGTGGGAGCAAATGTTCTTGTTTGTCGTTGTATGGAACAGTAAGTTTATTATCCTATCATTGTTCCATGAATAACCGCTTTCCCGATTACCAAAGTTAAAACATTTTAATTGTTTATGTACAATCTCTTCTTTTTAATTACAGGTCAGCTGTGACAAAAAAGCTTGTTAGTTCCTTGAATGTCAGTCATTTTAACTTTTACTGTATGGATCAAGAGAAAGCCAAAGATATACATAAACTGTTTTTGAAATTGTCATAATGTTAACATATTTAATAAATTATATATACATATGATGTAGTACAATTTGTTACTGCTAGTTGAAAATGAAGTAAACATGTGAATGATAAATTTTCTTACTTTTTCATTGGCGAATATACAATCATAAATATCTTGTTTAACAACCAAAATTAATTTCAGTTTCTGGTATTTTCAATTATAGTTCATAGAATGGCAAATCCTTTAACGGAATATAACGCATATCAACTGATTACGCGTTCCTAAAACAGTCTCAATAATACTTTAATATTTTTAAAGGAAAACCAACACCAGGCAACTTTCTCAATAATTTAATTATTAATAACATTTAACTACTCTCATTTTTTTTTGTCTACGCTCAAAAATCCAACAAACAACATGCATATTTTTACGTACAAATTATTTTCCTCATTTTCCCACATCCTGTGTACATTGGTGCGATCTATTAAGTCTTGCATACTTCATAGGCAAGTAGGCATTCGTTGGAAACGACTATGCATACAGTGTGTTTGCACCAGATTCCGTTTTATACCTAGCTTACGATAATACTGTTAGCAATGCATTTACCTATTTCATTTAGAAACATTATTGTATGATAAAATTGTCGGTGCTTTCACCAATATTTTAAATTGTAACATTTTTTTTCTACAAGCAGTACATGTAACATTAGCAAAAACCGTTTCTAGCCCATAAATAGTCCAATAACCGGTCGTAAACAACGGGCCTAACAATAACACTTGTTTCATAAAATTCAAAATACCTAACATGATGAAGTTCAATACTGTAGTGACATTTTAGTGTTTTTTACTGCTCATTATGAAATGAAAAATGGACATGATTAACTAATATGAAAAAAATATAACAATACGACACTGTGCAGAAATGTAAAATAAATATTTTTTCCTAAAGTATCGTGGAATTAACAATATGAATCATATAAACCAAAATCACATTTTACAACATAATAAAATAATAAATAAGTAATATTTACTTCTTTACAAAAATGGAAACAATATAAAATGTTTACATGTTAAAAAGAAATTATGCCTCTATATCACAAAAACTTTAAAAAAAAAATTACAGAATCGCAGTTTAAAATTATAAAACATGTATTTGTAAGGAAAGAGAATGTCATTAATTTAATCCATCAATCATTAAATACGAAGACAATTAAAACAAAAAATCTTTTTATGCAAAGGAATAACAGTTTAACAGAGTAAATGAAAATGATCTATTATAAAATCAATTTAAGAACAAAATTAAAACTCTATTCTGGCAAGTTACGTATGAAAATATCACAGTGCAGAATAAATACAAGTAAATGACGAATGGACGGAATATACAAATATATAAATAATTTGCTAATATCACAGTTTCATCTAATTTCAATAGTGCAGCAAAAAAAAGAAAAAAAGAATGTGTTTAATACATTTGCTATAAATCGCAAAAGATAATGTTAGTAAATTCTAAGGTATTTGAAAAATAATAGGCTCTGAGATTGCTAGCATTTACAAATTCTAAACCTATACATTGTATAATTGCTAGTAGGTCAGATTGTTTTGATACAATTATGGGTGAAAAACGCAAGAATATAACAACTGAACGGGATTTATCCTAATTTTGAAGTAAGCGGTAGTCTTTGATCAGATCTGGCATTTCTTTTCGCAGCTGCGGCACACATCAGTTTGAAACTGGGAGACCTATTCAAAATGGATAATATTAATATACACGTTCATTTACAAATGTTCTTTTTTCTTTACATTATTTAAAAAAAATACTTTATCATGCAATTGTTATTAAACATTTACATGCAAAAGAAACAAAAATAAAATTTTCAAATTATCAAAAAAGTACTTTTAAGAGTGAAAAGATTGTCAAACAAACTCTCTCTAGATCGAACTTTCATTAAGGCTGTGTTTCACGCGGATTAGGTTCGATAACTCTTGTACCTTTAGTCTTGTTCCCTGATTCCTCCTACGAAGTTTGTTATACCGATCCCGACATACGTCACACTCAACGCAATCTTCCATGTCAAAGCGAATAGTTTTTCTGCCAACAAGAGTATTTCTCATTTTTTTTCTCTTTCCAAAATTAATCACACAATTAGTATTGAACCAATCCGTATTTCAATGAAAGTGACATTTTATAAAACATTCTTCGATATTTTGGCAATTCAGTTTTTGGACTGTACATGACCAAACATGATTTTTCAATGAAATAGCGACGTGGCCCAGTGTATACCCGCCTGATTAAGAACGCCAGAAGCTTTGTTTGACAACCCTTTCACCTTACAGCTGTTACTTTGCAAACTTTCACAACATTAATCTTTAATTAAAAACAAAATTCCGCCACCTTTAACCATTAATATATATGTTATAATAATTATTTTAGTATTGTATGCCCCGGCCGCACAATCAATGTTTGATTGCATTCTTACTTTTCCCCTTTAGCAATTGCATCCACTATTCCACAACAGATTCAATGCGTTCCTTCCTTTTCCCAAGAAAAAGGAGAAAAAAAAATCTTTGAAAAAGAAGCTGTTTAACAATTCGTCAACATAACATATTCTTGATTAAACAAGCATTGCTGCAGCCGAATCATAGCGTTTCCCTACTATCTACAAACCTATGGGGAGCGTGGTTACATTGTGTTTACTATATGGCCACGGTTCGTCCAAAGCCATGTTGTTTGGTGTATTTTGCTACAAGAATATCTGCATATCTCCGCTCTTCTTCCGTTAACAAAGGTGGATTTCCTCTATTAGAAGAGAATATTGGTCAACCCGGATACACAGAAATTAAAGCAAGGGGAGTTTTCTTGAATATACATGGGGAGAACTTAGAAACCATAATCCATAACAATATAGCAATTAGCTCTTCCATTTTTTCACCTTGACAAGTTATCAAATAAATGTATGATTTTGGATTATGTTTTCGAGTTGGATATGCAGTTCCAGGTTCGCGCATCTAACACAGAATTACACCTGTTGGCCTTTTCAGATACTTAGACCCTGTACGATCATATTATTACCACTTAAACAAAACATTTTTAAATGAGTGCATTATTTACGTGAGAAAATTATAATCAAATGAAATGTTGGTTAAAGTAACAAAAAATATACTGCGTGATTAGTCAACACATGC